ACGGAACTTCGTCAGGCGGCCACACGACGGGATCACATCCGACTGGATACGGAACTTCGTCAGGCGGCCACACGACGGGATCACATCCGACTGGATACGGAACTTCGTCAGGCGACCACACGACGGGATCACATCCAACTGGAACTTCGTCAGGCGTTCATATGACAGGATCAAATCCACCTAGATACGGAACTCCATCAAGTAAGTACATAGCGCGATTAAGTAAAGAAAAAGTTTATTCAATTTTTCCTGTAGTTACATACTGAGAAGACGTAAGATTATACATCATACACATGACACTGAAAATTATAGGTCAAAGCGCGAGTCAGCAAAATAAAGACTCGTCTACGTCTTTCTTGCAAGCTGAAGGAGGAGGCGCTCGTCGACCTTGTAAGTATAATATCAAGCGGAAAAAAAGAAAAATTAAAAATTTTATATCTAATCTTCTCTTCTTTTTTTTATATGTAAAGTAATACCTGTTTTTGTTTTTATTTATTCTTTTCTAGCGAATCCTCAGGGAAGTCAAGCAGGAAAACCAGGTGTAGCAACGGATAATAAACAAACTTCTGCACCGTATAATCCGTCCGCGCCGTACAATCCATCTGCGCCGTATAATCCGTCCGCGCCGTACAATCCATCTGCACCGTATAATCCGTCCGCGCCATACAACCCGTCAGCTCCATATCGTCCGTCAGCGCTGCCGACCGATTTGTCAAAATCCAATGTACCTTTGCAAAATCACGGTATGTTTTCTGGACTTCTTCCGAAAATTTATCTCATTCTTGAACTTGATAAAATTAAAATGATTTGTATGACACACGCATCTTTGTTTGCAGCTCCAACTTCTTTCGGTCAACCAAGTGCGCCGTACAATCCGACACAGGGAACTGCACCTCACAATCCGCCGTGGAGCAATCCTCACTACAATCCGAGCCATTCTTATCCACCAAATCCGGCGTCTACCAATATAGGATTCAATGATCAATTACGTCGTCCTACATCGATGCCGGTTCCTTCCGCATCTTATCCCACATACGGTTCCAATCCTCACTCTCCTCCTTATCCGACACATACTTTTGGCCATTCGAATCAACCTCATTCCGCATACAATCCTGGCTATCCCCATTCAACAGTCGGACACCCGTCCAGTTATCCGTCGCACATCCCGCCACCAGTACCGGGTTCCTTCGGAAATCCTTACTCCACACATCCCGTCGGCGGAGCGTACGGTCCAGGTGGTTACAGCTACCAGCCTCAGCAACACGTTCTGTCGCAGCCGGCGGCGCAACCGTATATACCTGGACAAACGGTTATTATGGTTCCCGGTCAGCAAGATAGTGGCAGAGGCTTCGGCCAAATGGTGAAAGAAGCGCTGGTTTTCTCCACCATCAACGCTGGTGTGAACAGACTGATTAATCCGCATTCTCATTACGTCCAGCCAACGAGCGGCAGTGGCACTGGTGGTAGCACGAGTGAAACGCACATTACAAACAATTATTTCAACACTGCTCCGCCAAGCGGCACTCCCGAGATACCGGCTTCGCCGAATGCACCCCAGCAAAACGTCCAATCCAATCCAAACGTTCCCGCCACATATCCTGCCAGTTATCCGAGCTCAGTGAACAATCCGGCTATCACTTCGGGTATATCGATTCCTACAATCGCCGGAAATAATGTAACGTATCCCGCTGGCACAACGGGCACGACTAGCAACGCGGGAAGTCCTCCGGTTGTACCTCCTAGTGGACTGCCTGCTGGCAATACAACGAACCATCAAGGAACTTCCAATCAAGGAACACCTGTTTATTCCTCATGGTATAAAATATCGGACAACGAACTGTGGATGCTTACTGAGGAGCTGTTCACGATACAGGAGTACAATGTATCTCAGTACTTGACGATACATCTTCAGAACAAATCTGAGAATGTAACCGACGCGGCTAAGGGAAGGTGAGTTTTCTTTCCTTTTTTTGAATTTAGTTTATACGATTATTTTCTTTGCACTATCGCGGCGCTATCAGACACTTTTGATGACTTTCTAGCTTGATTCACGTAGAAGAGAATATGTATTATCTCCCGACGATTCTGGCTATTCGAGCGCTCTATGACAATTACGAGCACAACTCAACCGTGAAGGAGAACCGTACCGCCGAAAAGAGGAGAGAAGAGGATCTTTTGTTGGACGTGTTCCTGAGCACAAACGTGATGACTAGAGCGATGAAATGGTTGTCGGAACGAGGTTTCATCGATCCAGACGACTTCGAGCGGAAAGACATTCTGCGGCATATCTGGTTCAGTCAGTTCAATGGGGCCACTTCGGGATTCGAACGGGTGTTCGTGTCCGAGAGATACGGCGCTGATCTCCTGGGTGTGCAGGACTGGATTTACTTCGAATATCAAGAGTCGAAGAACCGTATCGATTATATGGGATACGTGGACACTCTCAAGCTCGGTGATGTAAGTTTGTTGCGTATAAAAAATATCAAAATAAAAAAATATTGCGTGCGTGTATGACGTTAATTATGTTTCTCTTTGCAGAATGCCTCATTGTTGAAGCTGAACTTCAGAATGGACGACATTATCAGACCGAACGCGACGATATTTGTGGGTACTCTTCCCGAGCTCGAAATGGCTCTGTACACGATATGCTTTTATGCCAGACCGAACGACTTGTGTCCCGTTTCTCTCGGCGGGGCCAAGTTCAACATTTTCACACATTCGTTCAGATATTACGGGAAAGATCTCATAGATCTCGCGCTTCCCATGTTCTGATTCTTACATGTTGTATGAAATAAATGCTAGCTCCGCACATCAAGATCAATTTCCAAACATATGTAACATTGTGATATAATGAAAAGCGTAGTGTGTGTTTTTTTTAATGGAAATACAACAAATGTAATATACAATTTTTTTTTAACAATTAATAGACAAATAATTATGACAGTTTGTCATAACCACGTAAACCACAATTTCTGTATGTAATTTATCTTGTAATACACAACGATAATAGTTTTTTTCCTTACGTAAACGGGAATGATGTATGTACATAGATAATTTTTGATCAAATAAAAAACTTATACGACAAATAAAAAACTTATGCAACAATACAAACTTATGTAACAATGATTATACACTCTAATGATAAATCTTGTAAATAATCACCCCGTTTTTTTATTTCAATTATTTCTTCTTAGCGACGCGAAGTTCAATTTTTTCTGAAACAGAAAATATCACATTATTATAGGTAAAATATTCACGTGTCAAATACCACGTTTTAAAAATTACGTTACTAGACTTTTTGTTCCAAGAACAAATGAAAGAATTTCTCCGTCCGAATTCGCGAGAGAGAAAGTGCGAGAAATTGTAAATGAACTCAACGCAACATTTCTCGATAGATTTTATTGAAACGTACGCGTGTAATTTATAAAAGATCAAGGACGCGTGATCTCAGATTCAAAAACTTGCCGACATTGTCATTTCGAATTCGAAACTGGTCCGGAAGATATCGGACGGATCGACGAATGCGGTCGCGGAGAATCGGCGGAAAGAGAAAGCCTTCGACGTATGAATCACTCAATGTTACGGACGATGGTCAACTTGCGTCTAGACCGTTCGAGCATAAGGTCGACCGCTGCAGTAGCACGTCAACTGCGTGAGCAAACTGTGCGTGTTCAATACCTCGAGAGTCTTTTAGCCGAGATCGACATAACAATTCGAGAGAGAGACACGAAAAGAGACAAAAGCCAAAAATAAAAAAGAGGAGGACGACATCAGATATGAGAATCAGGACATTCCTGATCACCGCGGTTGTGCTCTTGTTCATCTTCGGTAAGAGCATATTTTCGCATCGTAACCGCGTGTTTGTAAACAACAATTTATAATAAAACAATGTTGAGAATCAACAAGATCAGAATCTACAGAAAATAAATTTTTACACACGAGTTTTTGTTTAATTTTCTGTGCAGTGTAAAAGTTTTGCTAATTTAACATCGAGCTTCGCGAAAACCGTCGACACTCGTCGAGTGTCTGTTTTGCACAATTTCGATGTAAATTACCCTCGTTGATGTATTAGTAAAAAAAATTATTTTATTTGAGCGTTTAAATTGGGTTTATATACCATATTATGTACGGTAAAAAAATTACAGTGTTACATATTAAAACAGCACGAAAGTTTAGTTCGCAGAAATCCATTCACTTTACCGAGTTACCGACGTTAATTTATAACCCGAGAATTACCGCTACACGTTTCCTTGAACAAAAAAAAATCATTACCTCTAAACTAATTAGAAACTTATTTACGTACGCGTGCGAATGTGGGAAAACACGCGCATAAAACCTGTTGTTGGAAAACGAACGTGATTTATTTATTTTATTGATGAGTGTACGATCTTTCGCAATTTTCTTCAGAATGTGTGAGCGCAAGTTTGTTTTTAATTAAAACAAAAGCTATTCGAATGTGAAGCGTGTTTTCTTTTGTGCAAAATAAAATTCGGATGAGTTGACAAAACTCATTCGAAAACTCGTACGAATGTCACAACAACAGAACGGATGATAAAATCGACCAACAAACATTGTGTGTGTGTATGTATGTGTGTATGTGCGCGTAATCGGTGGAATCACCAGAGCAAATTGCTCTTCTATGTTACTCAGAGACGTCACGCCGCCGCCAACGTACGCCATACTCTTCGTGTGGTATTATTCACTTGTCGACATTTATTGTAATTATTGCTAACGCCTATGATGCTGAAGTAATAAACGTTCTGGGAACCGGAGATTTTTTGTCAAAGTCACGCACGTGTAAATTATCACGATTGTCCGGGTTGTGCTCCGCTTATTCGTGTAATTTTTAGAGAGAGAGAGAGAGACAATTTTTGTTACGAACACAAAGTTCCGAGAGATCCACAAGAGATGTGCAATCGGAAATTACACGCGCGCAACGGTGTATAATTGATGATAGCATTGAACGCATCACGAGAAATTAATGCGACTAATTGTCTCATTATGGCTTCGCACACAATGATCGTTTTGCCTTGTATTGAAAAAACTTGATCTTGGCGACCGTTCGCACACAAATTATTTTTAACTAATTTTTTGAATAATTATTTCGTACTTTTTCGAAATCTGACCCAAGTTTTTCTTCTATTCTTTTTCGATCACGTCGGAAAAATTACAATTGAAAAAATTCAACGCGCCATAAATATATTGGCACCCACGTCGCAACGTAGAAACATGATCTCTATATCTCCATATTCAACTATGAGCTAATGATATCAAAGCGAGAATAGGCAATTGCCACTTTATACAATATGTTCTGATTATATAATATGCTTTACGAACAATAGATGTGGTGATAATTCGCACCGGTGTCGAATTGCGAGAAATAAAAGAGGATACTCAGATTAGATGGCTTGATAGCCACTCAATCAATGTGGTTTATCACACCAGGCAGATTCCCCCACCACATAAGAGGAAAATCTCTTCTCGATGTTTTTTTACGAGAACACTCTTTTCGACGATGCAAAACATCAAATACCGATTTTAATATAAGAATCGCGTGTGACATCTATGTGTGTATTTGTTTTTTATATAGCGGACACAGATGGTCGTAGGAGCCTCAGTGGACGACGAAGCGGCAGCGGAGGATGGACTTCTCGCAGCCGAACAGGATCCAAAACAACGCCGCGAACAACGTCAGGTGCGTGAGTAATCAAAATCTCGTTTTTTCACAATTAATTTTGTGCAAGAGGAACTGCGCCGCGGATTACAAATATTTACTTATCTATGTGTAAAATCTCTCTCGCGAATTCGATGAGTCACCTCTCCATATACAAACATAGTGGCCTTCTACGGCTTCGCACGCATCGCGTGCTCTTCGCCGGATTCCGCTTACTTACTAGTCTAATACCGTGAATCTCATTACATCCGCAGGCTCGAATCAGAGTAAAATAGGATGGAACGTGCCGTCGAACACCAACACCAAAACAACCGGCACCAATAATGCCGCCAAACCATCGGCTCCGGAACATGTTTCGAAGACGAGCGCGACCAATGTGCAATCGGGATACAATCCAACGAATAACCAGCCGCCACCGTACAGCCCATCGGGTATAAATTTAATCAATTTCTTCCGTATTCTATTATTAAAACAAAACATTCAAAACCGATATCTGCGAGTAAGATCTCGGGGCCGCCGGAAGAGAAAGGCGGATATGCAAAATGCACACGAAACAACATTCTATAAATCTCCATTAGTTGTTTATTGGATGTATGTTCGTATGCCTGTGCAATTGCAACGAAAGAATAAATTCTCTTCCGGTATCTGCAACAGATCGAGCTCATCAGAATTCAACATCAGTTTACAAAAAACTCTACGTTAAAATAATTAAAAATTTTAATTTCTTTACGTACGTTCGCAGGCGGATACCCGCGGCAGTCCGCTAGCAATCCTTACGCCAGTCCAGGTTACAATCAGGGATATCCGTCTTCTAACCAGAATCCTTCGTATCCTGGGTATGGCGGTCACTCGCCTTACGGTCAAGCCTACAACCCGTCTATGCACCATAACGCGCCGCCGGCGTACAGTCCTTACGGCGGCGGTTTCGGTCAACCGTCCTACGGTCATCAGCCGTCCTACGGTCAACCGGCCTACTCTCAGCCGTCCTACGCTCAGCCGTCCTATGTTCAACCGGCTATCGCTCAGGCACCGGCGCTCACTGTGCTGCAACCGAGCCGACCTGGTATCGGTCAGCTGGCCAAGGAAGCGTTAGTTTACTCTAGCGTGAGCGCGGGCGTGAGCGCGGCCGTGAACAGATTATTGCCGGGCGGTATTTACGGTACAAGAAGCAGCGGTAGTGGCGGTGGCGGCGGTAACACCGAAATTACATACAACAATTACTACTACAATCAGTCCAATCCCAACGGAGAAGCTGCGCCCGCAGCTGCACCCGCGAGTAATCCTGGCGCAGCTGCTGCTCCCGCAGCAGCACCAGCAGCAGCACCAGCAGCAGCTCCGGCGGCTCCGGCACCGCCGCCAGCCGAAGGAGAGAAGAAAGCTGAGGCTAGTTCACCCAGCAATGCCAATCCTCAGCAACAGACTCCAAGCCAGCCGAATTATCCGATTTCGAACGACGAGGTGAAGAAACTGACCGACAGTCTCTTCGAAGTAGACAAGAACAACGCGTACAAATACATCACCGTGAACCTGCAGGGTGAGACGAAGGAAGACAGCACCTCGGACGACGCTTCTTCGCCGTGAGTTACTCTGTTCATTATTTGATACAAAATTTCGATCTTTATGTCTTTAACCAATCAATTATCACTTCTTCTAATTCTAGTTTACTCGATGTCAAATCCGAAGCGTACGAAATTCCGACGATTAAGAGCGTGCTGGCGCTGCACGACAATTACGAGATAGACGTCAAGACGAAGGAGATCGTCACGCCCGAGGAACGCAAGGAGGAAGCCGAGCTGCTCGACAAGTTCATGGAAACCGACGTGTTCAAGACAACGATGAAGTTCCTGGCCGACAAGGGATACGTTCCGAACGACGAGTACGAATTCAAAGACACGCTAAAACGCATGTGGTTCTCGCAGTTCCAGCGAGTCGAGGGAGAGCCGTCCAGTTCCGGCTTCGAGGCGGTGTTCTTGGCGGAGAAACTTGATTCCTACATGATCGGTCCTCAAAATTGGATTTACTACGCCAAGCAGGAAGCGCAAAAGAACCTTGATTACCGTGGCTACATCAAGGACATAAAACTTGGTGATGTAAGTGTGATTAACGCTTGTCAACACACTTGGTTATTAATGATCTATGTCTATTGATTGATTTACATTTTTGCTTTGCAGAAAGGCGAGGCTATCAAGATACGTTCGGCGTTTAATATACCCGACACAAAGCATTCAGTTACGACTCTTCTCGTGGGTCTCTCACCCGAACTGGAGATGGCTCTTTACACCGTGTGCTTCTACGTTCGTCCGAACGACGTTTGTCCGATCTCGTTAGGCGGAAAGGACATTAATTTAGTCTCTACCAGATTTAACTACTTCGGCAAAGATATTCTGATCGCCGGTTTTATCGCGGGTTAAAATTTTAGATTGGTTTCGAAATTTTCAAATATTTCAAATATTCTATATGTAAAAAATAAACAAACATTTAAGAAGATACTCAGCGGGTTCATCCTGAACCTTCGCGTGTCAAGATAACTCATAGAGAATAAAACATATATTTATGTAGATATAATATAATCCATCGTTTTAATATTAATCTGTCCTCACAGCTTGACGTAAAACAATGTGTTTCTATGTCTGTCTTCTGTGTAAGTCGAACATAAATGTACAAATGTGCAACCGTTGAGTGACTGCGCGCAAAATCTCCGATCACTTATTATTAAATTTGTAATAAAAAAAAAACAACGGAAAAAAGATATAATACGCACCTCAGGTGTCCTGACGCTCCTTTTCTCCAGTTCCGAAAGCTCCATCAGAGGTATCACGGTCGGTCGTCCGTGTGCGCATCGATTGGGAGACTGCGTGTATCTCAGTAATTCCACGAGACACGCGCACTGTTCGAAAGTTAGCTTGTCGCCGAATTTAATGGCACCTACGAAAATATTAAGAACGGCTAAAAAAAAAAAACAATCTGTTGTCTAATTCAATAAATTCGATTTTTGCGAAACACAAGCTGTGTTTCGATGCAAATTAACAATTCGGCATATGTACCGTGACAAGCTTCCGAAGCTATAGCGTTGTGAATAGTCAGTGGCAATATATTTGCGCAATTCGTCGCATCACGTCTCTTCAATACGTCGCTCAACAGACCGCGAATCTTTGACAGAATTTTTTTATTGTCGTTATTCGCGACCAAACACCGTGGAACCGCGCGTATCAACAGCGCGTTGTTTCCGAACGACGATCCCAAGCTTATTCCATATTTCTTCAGTAACGTTTTGTCGCGCAGAAGCAAATCGCACACGTTCGCGGGAAGTTCCACGGTCAAAGGTTCGCGCAAGCTGACGGAGAGAAACTCGTCCTCGTTCTGCACTTTGTATCCTAAAAAAAATCATTTTGCTTTACGCAATGAAAGCTAAATGCAGAACGTTGTTACGTGAATACAATATTCACTTAACAAAAACCTGAAAACAATTATTATTATTGTCTAATAATAGGAACTTACGTCGAAGTAAATCTTCAAAACGTATTCTCTCGTGAGCGGCGTGTTGATCGATCATTAGCAGAATTTTTATTTCGCCGTGTGTTGTCCACGCGGCAATGAATTCGTCATTAACTTGATTAACGATCTGCAAGGAAACCGCTTATTTATATCAAAAATAGCCTCCTCCGCTTTATCAGGGTGATGATTTATTGCGCGTCACAAAGACTTACGCGTATCATTACCTTCGCGCACTTCAATGAAGCGCGTGACAGTCTGAATTCGCATAATTTTCGCTTCAAATTGCAAGGGTGCACCGCTGTTTGTTCGCGTTGCCAATTTTCCTCGTCAACTGTGTCACACACGTAATACATATGTAGCACCTTTGTTACCCATAACTTTGCGCTGGATTGATTTTTATTCCACTCGATAATAAAAAAAACCACTTACTTGAGATCATGGTTTTGGAACTGTTGAAACATGTCACATTCGTCAATTTAACGTGACGGTATTGCAAAAGACCGTGTAACTTTCGTGGCAAAAAGTCAAATTGATCCGGAAGTCTGAAAAATCGGGACCGCACGTCGGTTTTGAAAAATTCGTCACGCGAGTTTTTTGCAGAATTGCGATTCTTAGTGACGTAAGTCCAATTGGACCACTCGGAAAGGGGAGAAATCGCATTTGCGGGATTGTTTTCGTGATTAAATCGCTTGTCCGACTCGGTTTTTATCGGACTCCAGTTTTTCGCGACTTTAGCTTCGGTAGCGCTGCTGTTATCTTCACGCTGCAAGTCAATACAGCGACCGGTAGCTACCGTTGTAGTGACCTTCTTTCTTTTAACACCGACTATAACAAATTTTTTTCCTCTCAAAGCCGCGACACTTCTCTTCGGTCCATCGTTTACATCGTCCTTGATTATTTCCGGCTCCAAATGCAATTGCCTCGCGGGGCCTTTCTCTGCGAGACATTTAAAGACGCAGGACTTGATGTTGTTCAATATCCTTCGCAGATCGCAAAACATAACGTATCTTCTCCCGTTTTCGGTGAAACACGTAAACTCGTCCGGCGCGAGTGCGATAAAGAAGAGAACGAACATATCGCGCGCGCCTCGCGCAACGAATTTTCGAATTCTCTCTCGAAACGCGATTTTAATCAGTTTGAGAACAAGTGGGCAACAGATCGGTCTGTGATTTAGAAATAACCACTGCTTCGCGTTTTTCTCCGACACTCCGATGTAGCCGTTATAATTGCGTTCCGAGTCGCATCTTATCGACCACGTGTGATTTAACGATAAATTTTTTCCAAACAGCACTCTCAACACGTCCACCGAGCTGTGCGGCTTGGCAATTCTCAGAACCACCTTCTTCCGTTTTTCGTCTCTGATGGAAAACGACACCTAAATTACAACGTAAACGCGAGGTCATTGTGTTTCTCGTTAGTGATTTTAAAATCTGAACGAAGTTCAGTCTGCGAGCTTAAAAATTATAAAACCGTACATTCACTTTTGTAACGGCTATAGCCATGATAAAGAAACAAAGAGTGGACATGTTCCAATTGTCATTCAGCAATGCCTCGTGGAAACCGTAAACAGACACCGTCGTGCCGGACGAAGGTCTGTGTTCTATTTGCGTCAAGTACGACGCAGATCGTCTTTCCAACACCTTCAAACGAAAGATATGAGAACAAAATCGATATGTATCATGCAGCTACTTTGAAATATCCGCTCGATGTTTTGCGGAAGAGAGATCAGACAATATTATATCAAAACATTTTAACACAAACAAAAATTATATTCCTAAGTTTTTTAAATATGAATTTCAAATTACGACCTTCATAAATGTGTTCGTTGAATCTCGGTATCTCGAAGCGATGGTAAGACCATCGGACGAGCTCCGTATATTCGTTAGCGTTCGTCCGCTCGACTTGTTCAACTCGTACTTTCGTTTTTCGCCGACTACAGGTTTCTTATCGTCGTCGTACTCGCCTATACGTTTAAGCGCGCTTTGCGATATTCCGATCCCGTTGTCGATAACGTGAACTTCGCGTTTCCCCACGTGAATCCTTATCGCGATCGCAGCGGCGTTCGCGGCCAGCGAATTCGCGATCTAAAAACAATTTTCGAAGCACAGATCAGTGAATACAACATCGAACTGTCGGCTATAGATAGGAACAATTTCGAGATTACAGAAAAAAATTCCTACACGGACAAATTCTGTGTCTGGTTTTGTACGTAATGTGCAACCATATAAAAAGTTGTTTCGGTCTCGTGTAACAATTATTGTAATTGATTGTTTGTAACCAGACATCGAACTTGTCCGTGTACGCGGGACTATTTCCCGGAGCGAGAGAAATAAATCATACCAGTTCCAAGACGCACTGTACGAAAGGCGTGCCGTCCGATCTCGTCAGCGTTTCCAAATCGAATCCCGCATTGTTCTGCATTGTTTCTCAAATTCGGAACTGATAAAACAAAACCGAAGCGAAAACAACACAGCAAACGCTACAAAATTTCGCGCTAACTCCGCTTCCTTTTTCGATTGCTAAGAGGTTCGATTGTTAAGAGGATTATTATGGCGCCAAGTTACAATGCGCACCAATCAGAACTGGCCTTCGACTGTGCAATCGCGAAACGATCGCCAGTCCGATATTTTTGTGCTGCGATGGAAACGGACAGCGCCTCCGTCGTCCAAGCGAGCGGGAAGGTGAGACAGTTAATAAAAAAGTATAGTTAGTTCAAGCAGAGAGAAGAACACGGTTCTGTTTCGTGTTATATGTTTGTACCGTGCGATACTATTCGACTGCGATATTTGCGCTCGAAACTGTCCGCGGTGCCACAGCGCAGAATAATCAAAAAAGTGTCAGAATCGAGAAAATGTTGCCCGAAAAAACGCGGCAACAAAAATTCGAATCTCTTCGATTTACGCGGTTCGATGCGCGCGCCGCGTCGATTCGATACTTCGATTATCGAAGTGTCGCGCGCTTCGATACACTCGGATCGGCGCGCAGTCTTGGCGGACGAGTGACGCGGACGGAAGCTGCGTTCAAATTGTCTCGCGTTTCTTGCGATTTTTGTTGTTATCTCGCGCGCGAATAACGCACGTTAAACGCACGGAAGCACAATGGTGTTCGCGATGATTCGCAAGTAACGTTTGCGATGCAAATCGACGAAGTTTACGATGCAATTGTTTCGCGGCCGTTTCGCGGTAGCCGCGAGCGACACAAAATGGCGGACGCGCGACGCGGAGCGTAAGTTTGTTCGAATTTTCTCGCGTTTTGTCTCGCGTGCAAACGTCGATAGCACGTACGTTCGGAGTGATAATTAATTAACGTCTAGCGATGATAATCGGATGATCGTTGCGGTGAAATCGCGTCGCGGTCGTTCGCGCGGTCCCACGCGCCAGAATAAAAATTGCCGCTCGCGCGCGCGTTGTGTTTAATAAAAAAAATATAAAAACGTAAGAAAGACAATTGTGAAAATTTATACGATGTAACTAGTGTAATTGTGAAAAAGAAGAGCCGGTATCAGGACCAACACAATCGTGCGACTATTACTATGGAGTAGAGGATGGAGTGGGATGAACTGCATCAACCAAGTAAGTGCATCTCCTCGAATCATGATTTGAATTAATTGTGATATTGAATTTAAAACGGATTTTCAATCGTAAGATTCGACTGAATACCAGCTTAAAAATCTAAGAAAAAATGTGAATTAGAAAAAGGTCTGTGCAAAAATTACGAAAAATCTCACATTTTGTGAAAAAAAGTTCTTTGCAAACGCACACGCGTCGATTTTTAGCGTGAGAATCAGGGGTAGGGGGGAGAGAGTAAATGAGGAACAACCGGGTGTGTCGAGTGTATTTATAAAAATCTCTTTATTTTTTTTATTGCATCTACTAAAAAGTTTCCGCGCATTCGTATATTTCTCTCTCTCTCTCTCTCTCTCTCTCTCTCTTTCTCTCTCTCTCTCTCAAAATGCTACATATGATCCTGGGAAAGAAGTATGGCTCTCTCTTTTTCATTTTTCTTTTTTTTTTTTAGTAACAAGTGCCAAGACCACTCTATAACTTAACTTATTAACATTCGAGTAGCTTTATACATCGTATTTTTCTTCGCCCCCTTCCTTCTCTCTTTCTCTGTCACTTCCGTATCTCAAAGAAGGGAGCAAAAGAGTATTTAATTATAATTTATTTTTATTTTTACTTGTTTTTTTTTTCTTTTTTTTTAACATCCGAGGTGCGCGGTGTCGGAGACACAATAACTAGAAAAACTTTGATGACAACGATTTTACGAGCTAAAAAGGATTCTTAGATAGGTATCTCTCAACAACAAGAGAGCTACCTTTAATGTAAAATTGCTACCGCGATTTCATACTTCTCAACAATCTCCACACACTCTCTCTTTCTCTCTCTATCTCTCGTCAAACGTGATAAACTATTCTCGCAAAAATCATCTCCGAAATTAGTACACTGTTAATTACTACTCGATACGACCAATGCAATCGCATGGTGATTTGCGTTAAGAATTCTTGCTGGAATCCATCCCGCGCAGCTAGAATCTCTGGAATTATGACGTCAGAAGCGAGGAACATAACGCGACACAAGAAATAGTTTGTTCTATACATATTTACGTATGTACATATAATATATTTATATCATATGTACACAAATACACATATGCACATATATGTGTATATATACAACGCGTATGCATACAATTTTTTGCTATTAATTAAATTGAGTAAAAAAGCTATCTCTCCAATAAAAGAACATTATTGAAGTTATCATTAACATAGAAATTATGATGACATGGAGAGTCAATTATAACACCGCTGTTATTAAAAAGTAAGTTTAAGATATTCTTTTGTACAATAATGCATACTGATAATTTTTATGTCGAATCAAAGGATATGTATTTACGAAGTTTCTCTTATCTTATCAATTTCACGAATGTGTTCTCATTGATTGAAAGTTAATGAACAAAAACTGCGTTTGTACAAAAAATCATTGAACAAAAACTTCTTATTCACGCTTCTGACGTCACAATAAAAAATAAAGTCCGAAAATATCATCGTATATAACTGTTTGTGTTTACGGCGGAACACTCACACTTTTGTATGATACAAATAATTATATAAATTTTCAATCGGTGTGTGTTTGTGTGTGTCTTAAGAAAAATTAAATTTAAAAATTCAGTAAAATATCTGCTAAAAAAATCTACGCATCTCTCGAAATTAACAGCATACTCTTTTCATCGTGTCTTTGTGTCAACTCAGATTAAACTGTGTAACAAATTTTTTTTTTTATTGCGAATGTGGATGTTAAATATAATAGCAAATGGCGCGCGCGCGTACATACCAGATATAATATTTAATAATTAAGAAATACGTGATATATAAAATATGTGTTTCTTCTTCTTCTTGTTTTTTTTTTAGAGATGCGCGAGCTTGGAAGAAAAAAGTAAACGGTTAAAAAATCTTTTTAATTTAACAATCTAAATTAATTTATACATACAAAAAAAAAGCACGACAGTGTATCGAATCGCGAAGCTCGCTACGTAATGATAGCATACGATATTGTTGCTTTTATTTATAATTATTAAAATTATATGGTATAATAACAATCACATATCGAGAGTCAACTATTCAATCAATAGCAACGAGATATAACACACATGTCAAAAAAATGATAGTGATATAAATAATTTAGCGGTATCACCAACTTTCTCTCTCTCTCTCTCTCTGTCTTGCGATGTGCTTAAAAGAATGGAAAAATCATGTAACATGAAAAATATATATATATTTATATATATATATATATATATATGTATGTATGTATATAAATTGACAAGTTCCTATACATATTCTCTAAAATCTGTTTATACGACAAATTAATTACTTAAAAACAAATTTCTCCGATTTATTTATTTAACTTTAGGCACGAATGGTATGCAGACCCTGTCTTTGGTACGTATGACCGATTCGATTTTTTTGTTTATAAATGTCTGAACAAAGAAGACGCACTATCACAGTCTTCTGCATCTGGATATTACGTTTAAGAGTTAATTCATAGTGTTTTACTGGGATACTTTATCCTCCAGTTTCCCGTGCTCCTTAGTTTTTCTTGCATCTTCAAAGCGAAGAATATTTTTTTTTTTTTTATTCGTTACATTTCACATATCGGCGGGGACACAGTCCTACAGCATGATTGACCGTTAACAAAAACTCAGTCTTCTTCCTTCTTCTCGGGCTTCAAGTCCACCATTGCGTGTAACTCCTCAGGAGTGTGTCTGCATCATAAATTGACAAGCAAAATTAACGTAACGATTTAGATTCACGAGTTGAGCACTCGTTTAAATCAACGATAAAGTGCTCAAGCACTCAAATGACCCTGTACGTACCCTAATAAACCTTGTAAGTCACATACAAAGCGATACACGTATCGCTTGCCAGCAGTTTTGTGTATAATGTTCTTGTCGTAGTAGTAGCGTAACCCCCGGCTCAGCTTTTCGTAATTCATCTTGGGTTTGTTCTTGCGAATTCCCCAACGACGAGCGACCTCGTCCGGATCGGTCAATTTAAATTCCCAGCCGTCTCCGGTCCACGAGATGAAACCCTGACATGATTTGTCGGTCAACAGCTCGAGCAGAAATTGCCACAACTGAATTGGTCCCGATCCGGTGAAACATGGTCCGCCGCCTAAACAACGTTGTTTTTGCAATTAATTGAAACATATCAAACTCTATAAAATCTAAAATAACTATTAAAAATTCTTGCGTTGGAGTGAACATATCAACCGTGTAACAATTTACCTGTGTAACTGGTGAGCATTGGACTCTGCAACAAGGGCTTTTGGTCCGCGTTATTGGCAATGGATGAGGGATGATGGGGATTGGAAGAGTCCCGTGGTCCGAGTCCCGCGAGGAACATATGATGGGGCAGATGATCGCCGAGTCCGACGCTCCATTGTTCGCTGCTGACGCCGCCGCCTCCAGTAGCGCTTCCACTTCCGGGAACCGTTTGAAACGGCGTTGCATCGTACTGCCCGTATCCACCGCTTTCGCTGTAACTCTCGTGGTGGTATCGGCCTGTCGAGCATAAATATCATCTCGATAATGTTATCAGCGCGCAGAAACGAATTAATTAACGGTGCCCGTTAAAGGTGTCAAGATAATTAGAAACATAAGTTACCGCTGATAAACAAAGTGATATTGCGTTATACTGTTGTATGGAGATTTGTTTTCACGCAGATGTGAAATGTTTTGAACCACAACTATGTACCTCGAGTTCGATAACTCTTGAAACTCAGCGACGGCTGATACTTGGGCTCGAGAGGAATATTACTGGCGCTGTAAAATTCCGGCGAGCTGTCCAAGCTGTACTGATGCGTCGCCTGATGTTCCTGCGACAAGCCGTGATACTCGGGAGTCTCGTCGTATCCCGAATAATGCGCCGGCGTCATGTAACTTTCCGTGGCGTTCGCGTTGACTCTCAAGTCGCTCTCGTTGCTTCCTGTGCCAGCGAAATCGCCTCCGCTGCCCAAACCGCCACTTCCGCCCTGGAGATGTTCCGGTATGTGATGATTGCTGTAGTTCGCTGTAAAACAACGATTGATTTTGTGCAAGTTTTCTCTTCGGAGAGCTTTTATACATTCGATGTAGCTTTCTGATCGCACGGTTTTGTTTTACTCAACAGCACGCCAACTGCCGTGACATGTACTTTATTAGAAATTAATGCGAAAAAGTTTTTAATAAATGCGACTTTGAGAAAGAAGAAAGACATAACGCACATAAAAATACGGTAAAACTCACATTCTGTTTTAAGCTGATTTAAATTCTGTAAATGGATGTACGCGTTGTTGGCATTGTTGTCGTTATTGTTATTGTTGGTATTGCTGTTTGGAGTACTAGAGTGAGAAGTTGGCGGTTGGGTGCTATGGCTGTGAGGTGGTGGCGGCGTGTCGTCTCTTTGACTTTCGTCTTGGCACACAGGACTACGAAGATGATTGTAGGCACCTGTAGCAAATCGAAAAAGAAACACACACGTTTATCCATCGATTCTCCATTCGGCACACAGTTCTTCTCGCACGAAAAACATTTCCATCGTAAAAGAACAATTCTTAAAATCGCTGTTTTGTTTTTATAAAAATTTGTTCTTATTAAAGTGTTCCAACGCGTTAACAAAAGGTTCTCGAGATCTGTTGTACCGTGTACCAGAAGAATCACAGACATCGTCGACAATGCTCACGACGGCCAAATCAGACTAACAAATAAAGGGAGAAAAAAAAAAGATAATGCCACACACATACACATACACATTGTCTTTTCGCCGCACTATAGCGCGCGACACACTCCGCGGGGAGGAACCGCTGACACGTGGGCGGCGCGTATCTCGACGATTGGTTCGAACCAACTCCGCCTATCGTCGACTTCCGCTCTACGACCGCGAGAAGAGAACCCCGGGGCCCGCGCGCTTCCATCGCGGAGGCTGAGGATGCGCGCGCTCGTTTGAAACGGCGTGTTTGAATCGCCGCCACCGCGCGATACACATTCATATTTACATCGACCGTGCGCTATCACGGTTGTTGATTAATGACTCGTCGCGTATAACGCGCATTAGGCTCCGAATGAAGAATGCATCATCCGCGAAAGAAGTGATTTGATCTTTTAATAATTAAACTTGACTGAAGTCTTTTCAAACGTTTTTCTTCTCATTGACACAGATGAGTATTTTTACGCTTTTTAAAAGATAGTTTTGTCCTTGTAGTTTATTTCTAACACACAAAAATATTATTTTCGATCTTCACGAGACCTACACACGATTCGTGGATTTTTCGTTGTCTCTGAAATACATACGTGTTAAAAAAAATCATACGTGGAGCGATTGACAAGTGTCCGAAGAACTGCCTCATTCGTCAGATATCGACGACCCTTGCAATTTCCGAAAAAACGACAAAGACATCAATGCCGCAAGTGGTCGACACTTCGACGAGCTGTCACATAAACATCACGTGCAAGCAAGCGTTTGACATTTGTTTTTTTTTTTTAAAAAAAGAAACTTGTCAACAACAACGTGACATTACTATCCACGCGTCGTTTCGGATACTTAATCAATCACTTCCCCCACATAAAAGTTACGAGAAGAGCATTCGCTTCGGAAATTTCGTATGCAACGTTGCGACTTGAAGGGAAGGGAAACTGAGTCATTAATTCGAAGTTTAGTCGGAGTTTGGAGAGGGTCAACAAGGAGCAGGTGATATTAAGTGCGCGGTGTGTCTGTTAAAGTAAAACCAGGTGGCTCGCGGATCATTATCACTCGGGTCGCCCCGCTGTGCTTATTACCGTCTCTCATTTACACGCTCCTAATCAGCTTAGTCCCCCGATTACGTCGACCGAACCGACTGTCTCTTCGGAAGAGGACAGAGTTTTTTCTTTTCTAAGTCTTTTGTCTAATGGTATGCACATGCGATGCGCATAATGCGGGTGATGCGGACTGGAATTACCATAATCCGCCGACCTTTACGCCGAAACGACACTATCGCGTCATGTGACGCGCCGTCACCCTACATTCCCACACTTGTGTTTTAATAACGAAGTGGAAAGAGAAGAAGAAACAGGTGATTCCAACGCGCCGCCACCGCCGCCGCCGCCGCCGTCGCCGCCGTCTATCCTCAAAAGTTTTCACTCAACTGTCTTTCAAATTCAATTGTGAGGAATCGACTTTCTAAGATCCGATCTTTCTTTGAGAGACGTCGGTTAGGGAAAACGCACGAGTAAAAGAAAACCATAAAGAACTCTAAAAAAAAACTCTTACCTTGTAAAACCGATAAATATGCAAAAAAGATAAATAATTTGGAATTCGTGGGTACGCGAAATAAATAATAGCTTATTGTTAATTGCGTTAATTAATCACAAAGATAAAAAGATAAACAAGAACAACTTTGTAACTCAAAGTAAAAAATTCCGAAACACATCAGCGTCTTCTCGTACTGAACTTGCGCGTCTTTATACGTTCAAGCTAACGTTTTTTCACACACACACACGCACATTTAATTCTTTCCGCGCTACCTGAAGACATACGCGCGCCAAGAAAATTCCCGATGATTATTACATCAGCGGGTGTCTTGGGCCGCGCTTTCTCGCCCGAGCATAATTACTCGCGCGAAGCCCTCTTTTTCGCTTTCCCATATTCCCTGTGTCCATGTGGCGACCGTGGCGCGTCGTTAATAGGGCCGTAGGGACAGAGACCCTTGCCGCATATATTCTAAGTACACCTGCGAGGCCTCGCGTGTAGTAAGCTGCACCTCGCACCCCGTGTGTTTCATGGACGATGAGCGTGGGAGTGCAGCTTGGAGCCGGCCCTCACGCTGCACACACAGAGGAGAGACGGCTTTCTTTCTCTCCTCCGTCCGAAGAGCCAGTCGTCGTTTGAATTTTTTCAAGACCAAGAAAGATATCAATTTCCAGACGCGACTCGCTTTCTCACTCTCTCTCTCTTTGTTTTTTAATACTCCATTAATTGTTGATTAATATTCTTTCGAGAAAAAATAATTTTCTATCACCGCAAAATAAAACGCTCGTAAATAAATTAACAGACGAGAGACTCTCTCGACAACTGTATCAGATCCCGAGACAAAAATTCAATTTTGTCTACGAACTTCCAAACTACTTATCTAAGTAGTAGTTTTTCCATTTATACATCCTGTTCCTATCTACCCGGCCAATCTAACGTCGCAATCTGAACGTTCGTTAATTAATGGACGAACAGATGAGGAAAACTTCTAGCTGTACGAGCTATACGTAGCTTTTTCGAGTGGCGTAAAACGCGCGGGGGAAAAGCTGCTGGGCGAAGGGGAGCGCGCAGTCATGTAGCGTATCGAGTGGGCAAAAGTATAGCAGCAGCCGTGTATCAGCTGTGAAACAGGTGCCGAAGACTGGCAGAACGCCGGCCGTTTAGGCAATATAACGGCCGGAGCAGCAACAACGAAGAGGCGGCGGTGGTGGTGGCGGCGACGACGACGTCGGCGGCGGCGGCCAGTAACAGGAGCAGCGACGGCAGCAGCAGCCTCGTGGCACGTGCCAAATCGAATGAAACGGCCCCGGTCGGCGTGCACAGCTGCTGTCTGCCCGGAGAGACCGGAGTAGTAGAGAGAAGAAGAGAGAAAGAGAGAGAGAGAGGACGCCGGGGCGGCCTCTTGAAAATTAAAACCTGCCTCACGAATGTTCTCGACTCGCCGCCGGAAGGTCATTATCTTCAGAGAGAAAGAGAAAGAGAGAACCCACGGGCCCGCACCAGAATCCCCGAGACTCTCTCATCGTCTCTTTTTCGTGGTCTTGGTTGGAAATTAGGAGAAATTGATGGGGTTCTGTGTGCTACCTACTACTTCGTATCGCGATTAGCGCACAGATTTCGATGAATCAATCGCACCCGTCGTGCGATAACATCGCTCCGTGTGCATTACGTCTCATTTATATTTTTGTGTAAAACAAAACGGACCGCGGACGTGTATCAACGATCGGACATTTATTTAAAAAAAAAATTAGATATGGAAATATTAAACGACGTTTTTTTAGACATATCTTTAAAAACATTAATTTCTAATTTTACATATATAATTTGTTTTTTTTTGTTTTTTTTTATAAATGTGCTGTCACAGTGGGACCTTCAACAAAATTGCTCGATTCCGACGACCTTTCGCGAAATAATGGAACTGTTTGGTGCTCGATGACATGAATGGTGTGATACGAAACGCGTCGTTTCTACACGGTTCGTCATCGTTAATTTTATTCGCATCTGATTATACTTTTAGACGCCATTATGTTTCCCGGTCAACCGCGTCGTGCGTCATGAGAGTTTTGATTAAAAATCACGCACAGCCTTTTTTATTATACAAAGAAATTTATTGCCGGTCTCCTCTAAGCGGGTTAGAAAAGAGAGCGTTTCTATTACATGTAACAAATAACATAAACCACGTGATAGAATCATCGATTTGTGCAAATAAAGTGTATGTATACACAAATTGAGTAATGACGAGAATTCGATGGTATAAACAATTCAATCAAGAAATTTGTTCTACTTGGCGAATATGAAATCAATTATGCACATAAATTTATTACTCATCCACACACATAAAATATATATTCAAGCAGAATTGCAAAACAAATATATTTGTAGATTTCATATCGTGTATCCGACAATCTCTGCACATGTTTTCGTGTATAAACATTTTCAGTTTTCTATTCTCTGCAGATGTGTACACATGTAATAGCTGAAGAAAATTTCCGTTTTTATGAACGCTTCTCTTCGCGAAACAATGCCGGCAGAAAAACGTTAATGACGAATCAACACAATCGCGTTAAAACGAAAGTAGCGACCCTGTTCCGCTTCTATCTCCGAGTCCCATCTATATATCTCACATGTGTACTACTAATACGCGAAACGAATTATATTCTTTCCTTCGCCGTTCCCATATATCCGTCACCCCGCGACGCGATCGCGAATCGCCTCCTATTAATACAAAAAGCGCGTTGTCGCGGACGCGGAGAAGAACGTGTCGTGCGATGAGCACTACGTGGCTCGTAAAAAAGTCGTCCACGACGACGACGGTACGACGAAATCACGCATTGTTCGGTAGACCGGTGACCTGCGAACTCTCCCACACTCACCTACCCTGTGAACACGCGTGCGTGTGGGTGTGCGCGCACATCACACGTACGCGCGCACACATTAACGTAAAACGTCTACAGCATCTGCATAAAAGTTTCGCGCGAGAAGAATTTAGACGTGCAAAGAGAATTTTAACTTCAAACTTGAATTATGATCTTCTGTAAATTTGCAGTTGAAAAAAATTTATTTTCTGACTTATTTTTATCAATCGTACAATAGTTGTAATTTTCTATTTTTTTTTTTTAATAGCTCGAACAAGTTTTACACGTTATCTGCTGCCTTTGATAATTAAAAAAAGAGAATGAATTTATATACAAAACATACCAACATATTTGACATCGCATCGCGC